GTTCACACAAACGCTCCATCTACCTGCTCCTGACCTGGCCCCCCTGCTTAATTTCAGAACCAATTGTTGCCCGCGAGTCAAAAAGCTTCCCCACACCTGGTCTACACTGTACAGCAACACAACAAATCACCACCTAATTATTTAAAATTTGAAAATTATACAGAAAGAGCAAAGGCAAGGTAGCCTGAGTCAATAAGTAATACAGATAAATAATTAATTAATTATGATTTCAATATTGATCACAATTTGGTGATTTTAATTGGTTTTTCCAGCAGCCTTGCTGTAAATGTAAATTGCAAATAACTACTGACACAGAAGTGAAGAAGACTCTTGGATGACAGTTGAACCCTCGTCTGTAAAACCTACAAAGTCCAGTTGTCCAGTTGCCAGTTAAGTCTTAACTGCTTTGGATAAAATGACCTGAATGGCTGAGAACACACACACACACACAATTACTGGCAGAATCTTGGCCAATTGAAAACCATTAGATGTAACATGTGGCAGCCGTGGCCTAGTGGTTAGAGTAATCTGAGGTGCCAAGTTCGAGTCCCATCTTGGCTCGCTGTGGTGTGTTAAGCAAGAAGAAATTCCCTTGCACGTGGGCGCCAATGGGTTAATGGGTTAAATGCACAGGATACACTTCTTTCTGTGTGTATGTGTGTGCAAAATAACAATAAAGCTGATTCCTCTTCTATGTGCTTGTGTTTTTTTCTTCTCCAAATGTCTTTTAAATGAAGTAGTTAAGCCACTTCATGGATTTTCATTTGGCAACCAGACAGTTAAACAGAAAGATGAGCTAAACACACTTGGTTCCATCAAAATGATTAAACAACCTTCATTTAAACTCCATGAATTACAGCACCAGTAATCAATTAGCATGATTTACAGCAGTCGCTTGGATTTATAATGGAGTAAAATGGTAAACACCGACTTTGTGTCCTAGTGTAGGATAGCCCTTCCTTCATCACACCCTGGGGATGACTTGTGGCAGAATAAACAGCCATTTGTCTCCCTGTCTTTAACCTCTCCACTGCAACGTTTTTCATGGTAATACGTGGCTTGAATCAATGCTCCGATGACACGTAGCCATCTGTTGTTGTGTTGAAGTGCATGAAGTGGAGGGAAAGCACACACAATCACTGATATATATTGAAATTCAAAGCAGATACACATGTTCACAATCACACATGCACACTGAGATGCAAAAGCACCTCGTTCCCCAGTCCCTTGAGTCTGGTATCCTGAAATAGCAGAATCAAGGCCTTTTCAGTTTTCCCCTCCATTGAACAGAGCTGGGAAATCAAATAAATAATGCACAAGGAGAGAGAGGGACAGTGGTAGGACGACAAGTCAATGCGTCTTTTCTGTGCACAAGCGTAGCACACCTCTGAAGAACACCTGAATCCCATCCGTTCTCCACACAGCAGAGGGGACCAATAGATTAAAACTGCATGGCGCACACTTGAATAGGGCTAAAAATACACAATTTTCACAGAGACATGAAAGGAAACTGCCAAATACCTGTCCAGTATTGAGCAGCCATTGATTCTAAGACAAAGGCTACATTTCCTTAAAGAGGAGAAAAAAGCAAATCATACAGGCAAAGGTGCCTGCAGTAGTTGATAATGTCAGTGTGCCTTCTCTTCCTAAATAAGGGGAAGGTAGGCAGGTGTCAAAGCTGCAGTCCCACTGCCGAAGATGAATGAGTCCTTCTGCAGAATGCTTCCCTTTCATCCGGACAGCATGACATATAGATTCCCTATTCAGCTGTATAGAGCCAGGACTAAGGCAAAGACATTCTAAAGATCAGTTACCGGATTGCAGGTTGCTCTCTCTTATAGTTGTGCCATGGAAAACAATAACTGCAGCTCCACGGCCTACTGCAGGACCCAGCAGGCCTCTGTAGCTGGAACTTTTCTATGCACAGCCACAGAGAAGCCTGTATTTCAGCCCTATTCATGTGGAAGTGAATAAGTAAAAGAAGAACTGAGGCATTTGAATACTGTAGAGAGCAACCCCCCAAAACAAGGAGCTGTTCCCTATTATTTCCTTTGTCTGAGACAACACTCACATCCTAGTAACTTACAAAAATAAAACTGCTCATATGCCCCAGTGTTCTAAACCTAAACAACAGAAAGAGAACACCAAAACAGCAAAGGAAGGCTATAGGTGGAGAGGGACACACAAAGCACTCTGGGGTGGTCAAATGAATAGTGGAGAGGATTATCAGTTATTGAGATTATTGTGGCAGTGAATAAGGTAGTCAGCAGCTTGCTTAGGAAATGGGCTTCTGTGATGTCTCATTTGAATAGTCTGACAGTCAGAGGTGGAGGAGCAGCCTTGTAATGAATTATAAATACGAAGTGGGCACAAGTTTCTCTGGAAACTGCTGAGAAAAGGTGAAGCAAGTTCAGTCTGAAAGAAAAAGTGGCCTGCAACCTGCCAAATTTTTGCTCCCTTTGTAGGAAAAATAACAAAACGGCTTGGTTTCATCCTCTAAGATCCTATGTGAGTAAAAAACAGTGTGGGTGGGATAAGTTAAATTATATAGAAATAACATCATATACTGAGAGGAAAAATAAATTTAAACTTCTGTTAAAGCTTGTCTGTGGCTAAAGCTCGTCTGTGGCTTGTTAGCCATTTATGTAATGCCTGGACTCAACAAAGCTGCTCTTTAACATGTGGTCAAGGATCTGAACAGGACTGGCTTCAACAAAGATGCTAACTAGCCCTGAGAACACTATGGTGTTTGTTTTCATTTAAATTCTATGAATTTTGATTCCGTTTTTAATATTTATTATTTACGTTTCAAAGTTATTAATAATAGGGATACACAGAGTATTTGGCCTCCGAAAGACTTTTATCACCGAAACAACATGATCGAAACAGAAAGTTAAGAAGCAAAAACTGCAACCAGTGCGGGCTTGTCAGAAAGTGCCAACATGTCTGCAGTGTAGACGTATTTCAATATATCTGAGAAAGACCCACAGATAGTGATTTGCAAAATATGTAATAATGAAATTTCAAGAGGGGTGAAAAGTATATTCACAAAGTTTGTCAGCACACGTTTCACTGAGATCTATTTGGATTCCTTGCACTTGTGCGACTGTACTTGATCCGCATTATAAGATCATCACTTGGATGCGGGGAAAAAACAGCACACATGAGAATGAAATAATAATAATACGTAGGCTAGAGGCACAAGGGACCCAACTCCTGATGTACCCAGTTCTATAAGTAGTAGTGATGTGTCGTTCGTGAGTGATTCGTTCAAAATGAACGAATCTTTCATATGACTCGTGACTCCCGAGTCATATGAAATATTTGTTCATATTGAACTCACAAATCACACTCTGCGAACTAATCACTCATTGCGAACAAATCACTATGCGAACACGTCTTTCACTGTAAACTAATCTTTCGCTGTGAACGAATCATTCTCTGTGAACTAATCTTTCACTGTGAACTAATCTTTCTCTGTGAACGAATCATTCGCTGTGAACTAATCTTTCGCCATGAACTAATCTTTCGCCGTGAACTAATCATTCTCTGTGAACTAATCTTTCACTGTGAACTAATCTTTCTCTGTGAACGAATCATTCGCTGTGAACTAATCTTTCGCCATGAACTAATCTTTCGCCGTGAACTAATCATTCTCTGTGAACTAATCTTTCGCTGTGAACGAATCATTCTCTGTGAACTAATCTTTCGCTTCGTTCTCGCAGATTCATTTCATTTCAGAGCTCGGGTCTCTTTTGCTCTCATTCATCTTAACATTGTGGTGTGTTTTTCTTTCTTAGGTTTTCACATGGTTTTAATTGCTTATGGCATTTTGTGTACTTTGTAGACTTTATCAGCGGAAGCAAACCATGTTGCCTTCAGTATTCAGTGTCGGATAACCGCAGCCTTATTTACAACGCCCACAATAGGACTAAAACACCACCTGCTGTAAAACGAATGAAATGATTAGTTCAAGATTCGTTCACGACTCATTCATTTTACTGTTCGAGAATCAAAGATTCGAATCAATAAAAAGAGTCGGTCTTCCCATCACTAATAAGTAGACATGCTTTCATAGTGAAGAACCCACAAAAAGCACACGTATTAGCTGTGCAAAGCAGATGAGCATGTGCTAGGCCTGTTATCATTTGAGACGGTGTGAAGGACACTATTGGTTTCCCTTCATGGATTAGCAAGATGACAAACTTGAGCTGCCTAGCTTGAACATTACACACTGTTTGCCATGTCTCAGCAAGGATATATGACCTCCTTTGGAATCCTCATCGTGGACGAGTAATCATTAAATTTTCAACAGTGGAAGATTTTTTTTTCTCTGAATGCCGGAGGCACTGGAGCAAAGATAACTTCACCACGCCCCGCCTTGCAAACTCAGTAAAAGAAGCTGCGCGCCGCTTTAAATAGTCTACAGAAATGTCATTATTCAAAACCCTTTATTAATAACTTCTATTCTAACACTGCCATCTAGTGGCTGATTTGAATAATACAAAAGTTAATACGTTAAAAACAAAAAAAGCTTAGCGAATTACTGTATACTAACGCTGGGGAAGAGTATTTCACAGTTTTAATTGCAATTTGTTCATATCAAAGCAGAGTACATGCGTTGTAGTTTACACGGTATGTAGGGGTTGTGTATATGTATGTACATACATATACATGTATATATATTGCTAGTATAAAGCATAACATACCTGACCATGTCTTCTGTTTAGGGATAGAATAATATTTATTCCCTAAGTGATCTGTCCCGACGTGTTCTCGCACGATCCCAAACGTCCGCCGCAGAGCTGCAACAATTCGGTTCATGTTCAAAGAAAACCATATACATTTGGTAGTTTAAATTGTGTTCATGTTCTGTAGATCGTTCACGTCTGTCCTCTCAGTGAATTGATGATGTAAGTGTGGGACGGCAAGAAAGGGTAACCAGTAAAGCATTTTCTGATTGGACGTTGGTCTTTCCTGTCCTATCAGTGTGATAGTTGTAAACGATACGCTTTGACGATCCAAAATGGCCACCTCTATAGTAAGGTAGCAGTTCAACTACACGAGATCAACGTAAAAATACACATTGAACAATTGGAAATGTTTTTTAAAGATGTGCCCATCAGGGAGTCCTAGTTTAAATTTAATGGGGTTGTGAAAAAGCAGAGTTTGATTTTGAGCAAATTATGTTTTTCATGTAGCATAATAGCATGTATGCTAATTTAGCCGAGTCTTAGAATATTTTGGAATAAATTCTTCGAATATCTGAACAATGTTGGGGTTTCTGGCAGCAAGGCAGACGGGATTGGATGATCCTCTAAGACTGCGGCGTGCTGAGTCAACAAGGAGGTGAGATACCAATAAACAATATGAGTAAAAAGATTTACGGAAACAGAAGGATTTAATGTAGATTTTATTCTGGAAGAGGAGGAAGAAATGCTTATATGAAAAACTGTATCACACCCATATCATTTTGTTGGAAACAAATAAGTGCTTACACATTTGATTTGTCAGAATCACAAGTCTCTTTTTTTAATCACACGCCAAACTATTTGCAAAAATGTACGAACAAGAATTGATAAGTATTAAATTTTTTATTACTGTGTGTTATTTGATTAACTCGATATGTTAAAATACCTTCTTATGTTTTGCTCATTTTTCAAAGGGTTTTTGGTCTGGAGTTGAATCCTGACAGAGATGTGGACCAAGTCCATGGAAACGGAATTAATACAATAGACATCGAAGCAGTTGAAGGCAGATAGTGAGTCGTGAGTTTATACTGAAGAGCAAATAACTCTTATTAATAAACCAATGAATAACAAATGCAAGTGCTGCAATTCTATTCCACACCTGTAAATAAAATGTTTTGTTTGTTTTTTTCATTTTAGTAAGTGCCAGAGTAAGTAAGGATCAGCCCTGAGCCCCTTCTTATTTGCTTTCGTGATGGACAGATTGACAGATGAGGTCAGACAGGAGTCCCCATGGACTATGTTGTTTGCAGATGACATTGTGATCTGGAGTGAGATTAGGCAGATGCTCGGAGAGAACCTAGAGAGGTGGAGGTTTGCACTAGAAAGAAGAGGAATGAAGGTCAGTCGTAGCAAGACAGAGTACGTGTGTAAACGAAAGGCAGAACAGTGAAATAGTGAGGTTACAAGGAGCAGAGGTGGTGAAGGTGCAGGAGTTTAGGTACTTAGGATCAGCTGTTCAGAGCAGGGGAGACTGGAAGAGAGGTGAAGAATATAGTGCAGGCAGGATGGAACAGCTGGAGAAAAATGTCAGGAGTGATCTGTGACAGAACAGTGTCAGCTAAGGTGAAGGGAAATGTTTACAGGACGGTGGTGAGACTAGCCATGATGAATGGTTTAGAGACAGTAGCAATAGGCAGAGCTGGCGGTGGCAGAGTTAAAGATGCTAAGATTCTCTTTAGGAGTGACAAGGATGGACAGGATCAAGCTTGAGGTCATTAGAGAAGCCAGATTGAGATGGTTTAAACATGGGACAGTGGATACATTGGTAGAAGAATGTTAGAGATGGAGCTACCAGGTAGGAGACAAAGAGGAAGGCCAAAGAGGAGATATATGGATACAGTGAGGGAGGACATGCAGATAGTTGGAGTCAGAGTAGAAGATGTAGAGAACAGAGAGAGATGGTAATCAATGATACGCTGTGGCAAACCCTGAAAATAGGGACAAAGCCAAAAGAAAAAAAAAGTGCCAGAGTCAACAATCTGCAATGTTTTTTTCTGACAGGAAATGGTTAAACCTAGTCCTTGATGGTTTTGTTAAAGCTGTTTTATTAATGCCTCATTTTTACCTTTTGTTTATCGCATGTTTTGAACCATTTTTGGTTCTTAAAATAAAGGCTGTACAATAAATAAATATCAACATTTTCCATAAAGCAATTACAAGTTCAAAGTGTTCTTCATTGTATTATTCCCCTTTTCTGCTTTTAGTATGTTGTCTGGAGGTTCAGATGGCGTGATTGTTATTTATGACCTGGAAAACTACAGCGGGAAACCGCAGTACACCTGCAAAGCAGTCTGCACAATTGGCAGGTCAATTTCTTTCTTCAATTTCTCGCTCTGTCCACTAGATGGTAGCATTCTACCGAGTTCTTACAACGTCATTCTACTCATACTGTATATATACACAACTGCACGCTTATTTGTCAGTGTTATTGTAGTATTTGCTAACGCCAGTTAATTTAAAACCAAACTTCAATTTATTTTTTCCACTTTATACTTAATCCGTTAATTTGAGACAAGTTCCCATATCATTTAAATGTGTTGTCACTGAAAAGCACTTTCACTTTTTAAATATACAGGTGAAGCAGAGCAAAATGTATTTGGAATCTGGTCCAGTGATGACAATTTGACTTTTTTTATTTTTCTTCTTTCAGGTCAAACCGTTATGTTCACAAATTCAGTGTTGAAACGGTCCAATGGTATCCTTATGACACTGGCATGATTGTCTCCAGTTCCTTTGATAAGACCATGAAGGTCTGGGACACAGAAACTCTAAAGGTATTTTTTTTATTATTTTTTGCTACAGCTGTA